TACTATTTCCAGCGTACCTAAAGAGTATACTATCCTATGTGAAGGTGCCGCCACTGCAACTTCCCGAGCCGCCCCCGAGCTATTCAGTCTATCCCTATCCAATTGATAGTAACAGAGTGGAACCTATGCTACACTGGAGGACCCCAGTCACTGTCCTGCCTCGCCAGGAGCATTATGGAGTTGATCAGTAAGGACAACCGTGGTGTTGATAGAGACTTTGCAATGGATTTTTTCGTCCTCACGAGAACCTCAAATTGATCTGCTCGGGAAGTGTTTTGCTAGTGATTAGCTTCGGTATGCTCCTGGTTCGGAGCTTCCGAGTACTGAATTGTATGAGAGTCTAAAAACACAATGGAGTTTCGAATATGAGAAACTCTAGTGAGAAACATATGTCACGACTACTGTGACTAACGATTTGGCCTTCCTTCAGATTGAGGGTGATATTCGCCACTCAAGCATCCACTGTGAAAATATAGGGAGGACTGGATCATTCCCAACAATGGACGATGTCCCTTGCGACTAACTATATGGATCTCCTTCGGATTGAGGGTGATATTCGCCACTCCACCGTCCATTGTGAAAATATAGGCAGGACGGGTCATTCCCAACAATGGACGATGTCCCTTGCGAATAACGATATGGCCCTCCCCCGGATTGAGGGTGATATTCGCCGTTCCAGCATCCATTATGAAAATATAGGCAGGACGGGTCATTCCCAGCAGTAGACAATGTCCTTTGCGAATAACGATATGGGCCTCCCCCGGATTGAGGGTGATATTCGCCACTCCAGCATCCATTGTGAAAATATAGGGAGGACTGAGTCATTCCCAGCAGTAGACAATGTCCTTTGTGACTAACGATTTGGCCTTCCTTAAGATTGAGGGTGATATTCGCCACTCCAGCGTCCATTGTGAGAATATAGGGAGGACTGAGTCATTCCGAACAATGGACGTTGTTCCTCATGACTAACAGCATGCACCCCCTTCGGATTGACAGTCATATTTCGCCATTCCAGCATCCTTTGTGAAAATATAGAGAGGACTGAGTCATTCCCCACTATAGACGATGTCCCTTGCGAATAAAGATATGGGCCTCCCCCGGATTGAGGGTGATATTCGCCACTCCAGCATCCATTGTGGAAATATAGGGAGGACTGAGTCATTCCCAGCAGTAGAAAATGTCCTTTGTGACTAACGATTTGGCCTTCCTTCAGATTGAGGGTGATATTCGCCACTCAAGCATCCACTGTGAAAATATAGGGAGGACTGGATCATTCCCAACAATGGACGATGTCCCTTGCGACTAACTATATGGATCTCCTTCGGATTGAGGGTGATATTCGCCACTCCACCGTCCATTGTGAAAATATAGGCAGGACGGGTCATTCCCAACTATAGACGATGTCCCTTGCGAATAACGATATGGGCCTCCCCCGGATTGAGGGTGATATTCGCCACTCCAGCATCCATTGTGAAAATATAGGGAGGACTGAGTCATTCCCAGCAGTAGACAATGTCCTTTGTGACTAACGATTTGGCCTTCCTTCAGATTGAGGGTGATATTCGCCACTCCAGCATCCACTGTGAAAATATAGGGAGGACTGAGTCATTCCCAGCAGTAGACAATGTCCTTTGTGACTAACGATTTGGCCTTCCTTAAGATTGAGGGTGATATTCGCCACTCCAGCGTCCATTGTGAGAATATAGGGAGG